TATATTATAAATGTATAATACATATTTATATAACATATAATATAATATAGGCATATCATAGATGTAATATATAAATAAATCATAAATAGATATATTTATTTAATATATTATTAAACTATATGCATGTATCATACATATATATTATAAAAATAATATACTTTATATATATATATAAACCCCATAATGAATAAAATAAAACCAGCCATGCAGGCTGTCCTGTTCCTGTGTGATCATTCTGCACAGCTCCATTGGAAGCTGGTGCTGTGTGATGGGAACCCTCAGGGAAATGTTACATAGTGGGGTCTGGTGGGATTTACCCAGCTGATGTCCACAGAGCAAGAATCTTTCAAAGGATACCTCTCATCCACAGTTTTGGTTCCTGTGGCATGGAAGAAAATTATAAACCTGAAGCTAATATATGTATACATATTTAAGAAAATATAAATATATAAAATACAGAGATAACATAAATATATATTATATATATTATAGAAATACATATATTAATACAGTGTCAACCAGTGTTTGAGGGATACACAATGATTTCTAGCTCTAGGTATTAATTTTGCCTTCTGCAGTGATGTGCTTCAGGTTTTGATGAGGATAGTCATGTGCATCTGAGTGTTACTAATGAACTAGCCAGTTATTTAATTTACCACATAAATCCCAGCAGGAATTTCTCCTTAAATGCCTGCAACTGTCTAGTGGGGAAGCGCTGTCTCCATCTGTTTTCAGAGGTTTCATATTAATTCCTTAAAAATATGAACATTCTATCACCCTAAAAGAAAAATAATTATCAGCTAGAGTTAGGTTTAAAAGCCCCACCTAAACCTATGTTAAATGGGAAGCTCATTCTTCTGTGGAAATTTAGGAAGAGGGTTAATGAGCTGTTATTAATACTACATCATTTCTACTGTTGGGAGAGAAAATTTGGGTAGTTCTATTTTGATTAAGAACATGGAAAAGATCTACACTAGATTGGTGGGGAAAAAGGTGAGAGTAAAATAGTAATCTAATAGTTAGGAGTTAAAAAAAGAAAAAAATTTAAAAAGCGATTTGTTTTTTTAAAACTTTTGCACCAAACCACTTTTAGTACTAATTGCCTGCGCTGTATGTAAGATATTTTAAGCCACATGTATTTATGGAAATTATTACAGCCCATGCTCAGCGATTTTAGTTTTATTACAGCCTTTACTCTCTTGCCATGGGCAGAAGAGTGCACTGAGCTACAGCACAGCACCCTTGAGTGTCCCACTCCTTTCTTAAGGACTCCCCCAATGGTTTCCTGCTTTCCAGGGATTTACAGACATTTCTATAAATTCAGCAGTCTGTTGCAATGGGATCTTCACTTTTATACCTTTTTTCTTCTGGAATCTGACCCATTTCATGGGAGTAGCCGCTCTCCTCCGCCAGCTGCGTGAGCCCCGCTGAGCTCATCCCTGCTAGAGCCTCTCTCGACCCGCCCTTCGTGCCCTGCAGGGATTTTTCTTAGATCTCTTTGTTTTCTTTCCCAGTCAAAGCAAATACTTCACCGACGTTTCTAGCATAGCCCTTGTAAACAGCTTTCAGGCTGCCCGAAGTCTTCGTGTTTCTCTGGACTGCTCCTTTTGGTGCTTTTCTTTCCTCATTTTTGTTTTTGTTTTGAGTTTCAATACTCACATGTTGAATGCATTTAGTCCCACAAGGTGGTTAAACCTAATTGCACTCACTTTTACAGAGCAGCTTTCACAAACAGCTTTGGAATTAGGTCCTTTGCACCTAATCCAGGAAGGCAAATGTTCTTGTGGGTGCCCGGACTAGTTGTTCTAAGAATCACCATCTTGCAGCCACAAAAATGTGATCTCTGCATCTCCCGACATCACCCACAGTCACCCCTCAGAACTTCTCTGCTCAGCCACCTCAAGCAAGGGAATGACCTGCAGAAGATCCCTGCGTCCACCAGGGAGGGATTATTCGCTGAAAACCTTCTCTAAGGTGTTGTGAAGTATTTGCAGACCCACTCCAGGGTGTGTGGCAGAACACCTGGGCAGAAAGGTGGCACAGCATGTGAGGGACAGATGAGCCTGTGTGATACCACCTGTAGGCAGCTCACCTGGAGCACTGAGTCCAACTCTGGGGCTCCCAATGTAAGAAGGATGTGGAGCTGCTGGAGCAAGTCCAGAGGAGGCCATGGAGATGCTCCGAGGGCTGGAGCCCCTGTGCTCTGGAGCCAGGCTGGGAGAGCTGGGGGGTTCACCTGGAGAAAAGAAGGCTCCAGGGAGACCTGAGAACCCCTTCCAGTGCCCAGAGGGGCTCCAGAAGAGCTGGAGAGGGACTTGGGACAAGAGCCTGGAGGGGGAAATGGTCTTAAGCTGCAAGAGGGAAGGTTTAGATTAGAAAACAGGAAAAATTCTCGGCTATGAGGGTGGTGAGTCCCTGGCACAGGTTGCCCAGAGAAGCCTCAGTTTTCAGATACAAAGGACTTTCAAACTGATAGATGGAAGGAGTGATTAAGGTTTCAACAGCTTGGGCTTGGAGAGCTTGATTATTATTATTATTAATGATTTTTTTCCTTTGGCTTGGTGTGCAATAATGTCACTGTGCCTGGAGAAGCTGCTACATCAAAATCAGCAGAGATGGCTGATTGAGAGACCTTCCACTATCCCAGATTGCTCCAAGCCCCATCCAAACTGGCCTTGTACGCTTCCAGGGATGGGGCAGCCACAACTTCTCTGGGCAACCTGTGCCAAGGACTCACCACCCTTAGAGGGAACAGTTTCTCCTATTATCTAATCTAAACCTTCGCTCTGGCAGTTTAAGACCATTCCCCCTTGCCTTGTCACTCCAGGCCTTTGCCCAAAGTCTCTCTACAGTTCTCCTGGAGGCCCTTTAGGTACTGGAAGGGGCTCCAGTGTCTCACCAGAGCTACTCTTCTCCAAGATGTACCTTTGTTGAAGACCTGAGTTTTCTTTTTTTATTAGAAGAGGTTCCTGAACACTGAAATCCGACAGAGAAAAGCACAGCCAAACCAGTGGCTGGAAGGCAGCCAGAGCAACTGGGAGCTGGCAGTGAAACTGGGGAGGGTGGATAGCTCTGGGAATATCTTCTGGAAGGCCTTCTGGCCTTCTCCTTCTCTGCTTGGCATTGTTACAGGGCGATAACGGCATGACCTGTGTGGCACAGAAATTTATTCCCTGCTTGGAATACAGCCTTTGAGCAGGAGGAGAGGCTGAGAAAGGACAGCTGAGACACCTTGAGGTGGGTTCTTCCCAGGAAGGATGATGATGGAGGGCAGGGGGGTGAGCTGATGAGGTTCTCACACATCTTCTGTGGGTGATGAGAAGGATCACACCTGCATGCACCCTTGCAGCTTCTTCAGTTCTGGATTTGCAAGCAAAGATGCTTCTTCAACATCCCATCCTCAGCTCTGGGAAAGGCTTTGCATGCAAAAAAAAAAAAAAAAAAAAAAAAAGGGTTTTCTAGGAATGGGCCATTTGGCAGCCATATATTTGTTACTGTGAAGGACAAGGCTCAGAGACAACCAAATCTGAGCTGCACTTGGCTCCAGAGCCCTAATTGCACCCCTGACTTTGTTAAAACGCTTCTCTGGAGCTGGGCCCAACAGCTCAACATTGTTAATTAATGAAACATGAATGTGGACAGGACTGTCCCTTCCACCTGTGACAAGGTTAACCCACTGACCCCCAGTCTAACCACTGAAGTTGAAGCTGCAAAGATGCTGAGTTATGGTAAAAAGCAATGCTGGACATGGACAGGGACCCTGGGGATGCTCCCACGAGAAGTGACAACCAGACAAGGACATCTCTGAGTGGTTTGCTGGCTCCTGTTAAGCATCAGACTCTGGGCTTTGTTCTCAGACTTGCAAAAAACAATCATTAAAATTTAAAAAAACCCCACAACAATAAATGTATGAAAGCCTCTGAACACACACACATCCAACAGCCCAGCTGATGTGCAAAGTTTTGGGAGCTTCCTGCAGGATTTTGCAAAAGCAGTGATAAAACCTTGGATGATATTTGGACCTAATTAAACCCCCCTTCGTGGCTTTTCCTGTAGCGACCTGTTGGTGATTTATTTCCTAAAAAGCAGCCAGGGATGGAGGCTGTAGGGCTGGGAATTGGGATAAAAAGCAGATGAGACACATCTCTGCACACACAAGGGCCTCTGGAGCCGCCGACGGTTGGGATTCCGTTTACACAGAGGTTTTGTCTTTGGGGTAGGAGGGGAGGAAAACAACTGGATTAATTTACGGGTCCGTGCACACCAAGTCCCGGCTGCCACCTAGTGCTCATCCCTGCGGCACAGGGATATCGCGGTCATCGCAGAGGGGGACAGCGGGGTGGGCTTGTGCCGGTTCACAAAAACCCGAAGGACATCGGGGTGGGCTTGTGCCACTGCCAAAGAAAACCTGGGAGACACCGGGATGGGCTTGTGCCAGTGCCAAAAAAAAACCCGGGGCACATCGGGGTGGGCTTCTGCCAGCGCACGAGAGCCTGGGGGACATCAGGCTGGGCTTGTGCCAGTGCACAACAACTTGGGGAATACCGGGATGGGCTTGTGCCAGTTAACAGTGTCCCCAGGGGTCTCGGGCTGGTGCAACCCCCGAGGTGTGACGTAAGCACCGTGACGTCACACGCCCCGGCGGGAAAGGGCACTGGGGGAGGTGCCCCGAGGGGGGGGCCGGGTAAGGGCGGCTCCTTCTTCTTCCTCCTCCGCCTTCTCCTCCTCCTCCCCCTCCCCTTCCTCCCTCTTCTCCTCCTCCGCAGGATGCGCGGGGCCATCCCGGGGCTCAGCCTGGCGCTGCTGGCGGCGGAGCGCGGGGCGAGTGAGTGAGTGATCAGGATGCGCGCAGGATGCGCGGGGCTGTGCGGAGGCTGCGCCACCCCCAAGAAGAGGGGAAGGCGGGTGGGAAGGTGGCAGCGGCCCCTCTGCGGACGTCTCCGGGATCCTGGGTCACCCCTGGGGACCGGGGAGTGGAGAATCACCCCTGCGCTCCAGCGGAGGGGGGAGATGCGCGGTTCCGCCCGCGGGCTGGGGCGTTCAGCATCCCTGCGGACCCTGTCGCTCTCTGGGGGTTTAATATGAAAAATTGGTGGGTTTTTTCAGTTTTTAAAATTTTATTTATTTCTGTATGTATTTTGGAGCCTGAGGTTTTTATCAGAGCCCTTCCTGGGGCCGGGCCCCTCGGTGGCGGTGGCTGTGCCACGGCTGACAAGCCACCAGGAGCCGGCGGCTGGAGATAAGACTGGGACAAGGGCTGCGAACCCCCTCGGAGGCTGGGAGATGGAATTGTGGTGGGAATGGCTTTAAGCTGAAAGAGAGCAGATTTAGATTGGATGTCAGGAGGAAATTCTTCCTTGTGAGAGTGGTGAGACCAGGCCCCGGGTTGCCCATAGAAGCTGTGGCTGCCCCATCCCTGGAAGTGTTCAAGGCTAGGTTGGATGGGGCTTGGAGCAACTTGAGCTTAGTGGAAGGTGTCCCTTCCCTTGGCAGGAATTGGAACTGGATGGTATTTAAGGTCCCTTATAACCTAAACTTTTTAAGAATTCTGTGATTGTGTGTGGCACGTCTCAGTTGTTGGGTTGTGTGGCTGTGGCATCCCTCAGCGCTGCTTCTCTGCCCTTCTCCAGGGCTCTGTGCCATCATCCATTACCTTGTCCATGGGCAGCTGGACTGGTTTGGGCTGACCATGGCCTGTGTGGTGCCCGGCTATGCCGCTCAGCTCCTCAGCATCCTCTGGTTCCAGGCAGACGGACACCCACCCAGCTGCTGGCTCCTGGTGCTCCACCTCCTCCAGCTGGGCCTCTGGAAGCGGTGAGAGATGCTCCCTGTGAGCCATCCAACCCCCCCCCAAAACCAGGTGCAGTCCCAAACTTGCCAAAACTAGGGTGGACATCCCAGCACGGTGCCTCCTGCAGGTACTGGGATGTTTTGCGGATGGCAGGAGGCAGTGCCAGTGCTGGGGAGGTGCTGACTCAGCTCGGGGACGTGTGTGTGCTGCAGCTCCTGGAAGCCCTGTTGCAGACCCTGCCTCACCTCCTGCTCCAGGCCTACGTTGTCGTGGCTGTTGACCCAGTGGGCTTCATCCCTGGTAAGCTGGGAGTTCCCAGGAGGATGCTTTGAACTGTATAGGAATGATGCGTTTGGGTGAGGGTTGCATGTGCCCATCTGGCAGGGCACAGGGTGGGCTCTGGGTGAAGGAGAACGCTGCAAAGGGACTGGGAAGCCTCAGTGAAAGGCACCAGGGACAAATGTGGCTGCAAGATCTGCTGTGGCTGAGCCCAGAGGAGTTCTGAGCCACCCGTGGCTTCTCCTGGCCAGTACAGTCTGTATGAGCAATGCCCATGCACAGTGTCTTGGCTGGGTGTGAACCCAGCATGTTCCTGTTCATGGTCCAGCCCTAATTACGCTGCAGTGCTGAGCATTTAGGGGTTTGGGGCTGCTTTGCAGGAAAGATGAACTTTCAGATGTGCAAAGGGAGAATTTGGGGTGTGCAAGGTCACACTCTGTGTCCATCTCTGGTCCCACGGCACTGACCAGGATGGAGCTGCCCTGGGGCTGCAGAGATCTACCTATGGGAGAGAGTGGTCAGAGGATTTCCACAGGCAGATGCTGAGCACACAAAAAAGACCAGGTTTAGCAGAAACTAACTGAAATACTCCAGTTCCATCCCTGGAAACATTCAAGGCCAGGTTGGACGGGGCTCTGAGCAACCTGATCTAGTGGAAGGTGTCCCTGCTCATTGCAGGGGGGTCAGACTAGGTGGCCTTTAAGGTCCCTTCCAACCCAAACCGTTCTGTGATTCCATGATCCCATGATTCAGTTGGCAGGACCACGGGGTGTCTGGCTTGTATTGGGGTGCCATGCTACCAACAGCTCCTTGACACTGAGATAATGGCCCCACAGTGCAGCTGGGCGTCCTTCACAGCCCTGACTGCCCTGTCCCCGTGCAGGTGTCAGCGCAGGGCTGTCCCTGCTCTCCCTTGCCTGGGCTTTGGTCTCCTACAGCCACTTCACCCGCCTGCTGAAGCCTGGCCACCTCAGCCTGCCGGCCATGGCCGTGCTCTGCCTGCTGCTCTGGAGGACAGGGATGCTGGGGACCAGGGTCCTGGCCCTGGTGCTCTTTGCCAGGCTCTACTCCTTTTGGGTTTTCGCTGTGGCAGGTAAGACCTGGGATCCCTCTTCCCCACAGCCCACCCTGAGGTCAGCCCTGCGATGCTCCTGGTGCTGGAGCTGTTTGCAGCCTCCCCCAGGAACGGCTCTGCTCGTACAGCCCCTTGTCATTGCAGGTGCCCACTGGTTGCTCATGTCCTTCTGGCTGGTGGCCCAGCAGACAGATATTGTGGCCCAGCCATGCCGCTGGAGGTTGTTTAATGGCCTGGTGGGAGCCGTGTACATCTTCTGCTACATCAATGTCCGACCCGGTCCCTCCAAGACCAGGGTGTCTGTATTTTATGCAGTAAGTACCCAAGGTATTTGTTACTCCACGTGGATGCAGCTGCTGGGGAGAAGCTTCAGACTCTCCATTGTCATTTCTCACATCACCACTTGATAAAAATCCAGTGTGGATAAAAAGCCACGTGGTCACCAAGATGGATGCACCTTCTCTTCTGGCTTCATTTTCTTAGAGGCAGACATACAATGTCAGTTTTTCCTGGTAAAAAAAAGGTGGACACCTTGCAGAAAGTTAAGGTCAACAACTTTTATGTTTCAAGTGGTACCTTAGGTATGAAATAAAACAGGGAAAGTGTTCAAGGACAGGTTAGATGGGGCTCTGAGCAACTTGGTCTAGTGGAAGGTGTCCCTGCCGTGGCAGGGGGTTGGAACAAGATGAGCTTTAAGGTCCTTTCCAACCCAAACCATTCTGTGACTCTATGAATCTATGGAAATTAGAAAGTGGGTGTTTTCTGTCATCAGAAGCACATCTAAAACCATCAGGGTAAAGATGACAACTCTCTTCCCTCTCTTCTGCAGATAATGCTGATGGAGAACACGCTCCTGTTGCTGTTGGCCACCCGGTTCCTGCAGGCAGAGCTGAGGAGCAGCCTGGGTGTGACTGGGGCTGTCATGTCAGGGTCTGTAATAGGTAAGATCTGGGGATTTTAGAGCCTGGATTGCACATTTTGAGAGAAGTTTGAGTAAATAAGCATCATCAGTTATTTTAGTTGCATCAGACTATTTGCTTTATTTCTTCGAGCTTTCAGTTTAAGCCATTCCCCTTCCTGTCACTCCAGGCCCTTGTCCCAAGTCCCTCTCCAGCTCTCTTGGAGGCCCTTTAGGCACTGGAAGGGGTTCTAAAAGTCTCCCAGGAGCCTTCTCTTCTCCAGGTGAACACCCCCAGCTCTCCCAGCCTGTCTCCAAAGCAGAGGGGCTCAAGCCCTTGGAGCATCTCTGTGCCAACCAGGCTCATGTTTTCCCAGTGGGTTGGGAGCAAAGGGCAGCTGTGATGCCCACATGTGCTGGGCTTTGTGCATCTCCCCAGACTGGCTGCATGCAGATCGGTTGTGATCAAGAAAAGGCATGTTTGGGCTGGAAAAGGAGCAATTCCTCTGCCCTTGGATGAGTTTAGGATAGGAGTAGGAAGGAACATGATGTCTGTACCAGTAGAAGGCACCTGTTGTTCAGCAGCTTCTCTGCAAAGGGGCTTGATGATCTAGAGGTGGCTGTGAGGTCTGGCCTTTTCTCCACATCTCACCCAAATGCTGCTGGGACTCATCCCTTGACAGCTTTTTGCTCTTTTCCAGGTGCCACAGCTCTGGTGGTTTATTACAGCCTGCTCCATCCCAAGTCTGCAGAGATCTGGCAGGGATTCCTGGAGACATCCTGCAGTGCTGCAGCAGCAGGTGATGATGAGGTCTCTGGAGAGAGCTCCCAAGCTGGGCAGAGCTCAGGAATTTCGGGAGATGATGAGTCCTTGTCAGGGAAGGGACCACAGCAGATCCAAAAAATGGGAACGGCTCATCGCTCCTGCAATCCAAAGGGTGTTTGGAGGACAGCTGGACAAACCATCACCACTGGCTGCTGGTAAAGCTGGCCTTGAAGACGGGAGATCTGTCCGTGATCAACGCAGCCTTCGGAGATGGTGGCGTGGGAGAGGTTTATCCCGCAGGATGGATGACGGGGAAACCCACTGGAGTTGAGCCTGGGGCAAACTCTTCTCTCCCCATGAGGGTCGTTGTTCCTCAGGAGGCTGAATCTGCTCTGGCAGTGGAGAATGGAGGAGGCATCAAACCCGGCACTGCAGGAATGGCCCAGGGGGATGGAGCAGGGCAGGAGCCTGTTTATCCCCCATCCCTATCCCATCCCAGCAGCTTCTCCCCGGATTCAACCGAGGACTCCTCTGTGTATTTCAGTGCCAGTGCAGGAGGCGTCACCTCGCCCGGGACAGGGACAGGCACAGGCACGAGGATGTGCACAGCCCTGGTGCAAAAGGACAGCGAGGCCCAGCCTTCTCCAGGGTGCCTGAGAGAAGGAGGAGGAGCAGTAGGAAGAGGAGGAGGAGGAGAGGATTTATCCCTTGGGATGGCAAGCATCAGCCCAATCCTGGGCACTTGTGCCCACAAGCACCTGCAGAGAAGCTTTTCCCTTGGCAACACAGGCAGCTGTGGGGTGGCAGGTCCCCCCAAAGAGGGCTCAGAGGGGACAGAGGGTGCCCTCATGGGGTGGCATCACCTCTGGGACACCCACCCTTGTGGCATGCAGGGCACTGTCAGGAGGAGCAAGCTGAGGTCGCCGTGCTTCACCTCCACCCCCAAGGCTGACCCTAAATGCCCACTGCGAGGACTGGGGGAGCTGGGAGAGGGGACAGACCCATCTGGGTTGCCAGAGTGACCCTTTAAAGGGCTGCACGGTCACCTTGGGGTGACTGTCTCATCAATAAGGCCTGGCAGGAGGTGGTGGAGTGAAAACTGTCCCAGTGATGCCCCTGACATTGGGCACATGTGCTCCTCCATCACCAGGACATCACCTTCCCTCATGGTGCATCTTCTACTTGCAGTTTTGGAGAACTTCAAAGGTCTGAAAAAGCCCTAAAACTCCAGGACTAGTTATTTATTGACCTTATTTATGTCACAGTCCTGCCAGGCAGCCAGAGTGTGCTGCCTTTGGTATATTTGTGACAATGACTTGAAGTGTGTCCTTTACCAAGTGCCTGTACAAGCTGCTGGCCTGTCCCAGTGGGGAGACCTGGCTGCTGTCTCCAGGCTGCAATCTTGGCCAAAGCAGGTGTCTTCTCAGGACCATTAAGTGCCTAAACTAGAAAAATTATGAGCTTTATGTCCTTCCTTCTGGCCACAGTAAGCCCTCAAGTAAGGCTCAGCAGTGCCTGGTTTATCTTTTCCCCACCAGGTTCATCTTGAGACCTTCATCAACTCCATTTTTCGGGGCCACAGATCCTCTTCATGCTGTAGACCACAACCTCAGGACTCTGAATTATAGCCAAAAGCCATGTGGTCAGCTGGATTCACCAGCAAGCTCAGGGGTGCCAGCTGAGGCACATCTGGCCATGTCCTCCAGCTGTTGTCCCGCTGTGGGCAGGACTCCAGTGGTGCCACAGGGTAGGAAAGGCAGCAGGAAGGGCACAGGCATGTGATGAATTATTAAACAAAGCTTCCATGATGCATTCACTGCTCAGGGCTGACCCAGCCAGATGGTTCTCCTGGGCACTGAAAACCCAGTTGGTGCTGGTAATGGAGTGAAGCCACATTCCATCGTGGTGAAGGCTCCCTGTCCCCATCCAGATCCCAGCCCTCCATGCTGTGGCTGTGCTCTGCAGGGAGAAATCAGTTCTAGTGGCTTTTCCAGAGTCCTCCTCACTGTGTGCATCAAACAGAAGGCAGAAGTGCTGCTGGAGCATTACAGGAATTTTTATCTAGTTTGTTTTTCTACCTTTGATAATATATAATTATGCTTAAAAAACCCAAACCAGCCTTTGCTGTGTCTGTGTCTCATGCTGGGGGGGCACATAAGCAATGTGAAATCAGAGCAAATAATATGGATTAACTGTCCTTAAAGGCTTCCAGCCTGTGTGAGAGCCCTGTTACACCCAGGACCCAAGTTCTGCATGCTGGGTACAGTCCCAGCACTGAGCCACAGGTCTCCACCTACAGAAATGACCTGTATTTAATCACAGAATGGTTTGTGTTGGAAGGGACCTTAAAGACCATCTAGTTCCAATCCCTGCCATGGGCAGAGACACCTTCCACTAGACCAGGTTGCTCCAAACCCCATCCAGCCTGGCCTTGAACACTTCCAGGGATGGGGCAGCCACAGCTTCCCTGGGCAACCTGTGCCAGGGCCTCACCACCCTCACAAGGAAGAATTTCTTCCTAATATCCGATCTAAACCTACTCTTCAGTGAATTCTAAAGCTCTGTTCAAAGTAGGAGGAATCCAGCAGCAAATCACACCTCCAGATACCCCTCCCCACCCTTCCCATCTTTTGGGGGGCAGAACTGAAGATGCCCAAATGACCTGGTGCACATGCAGATTTTTCCCAGAGGTGCCAGAGGGCAGAAATCACGCTGGGGAGATGTTTCTCTCAAAAGCTCGTTCCTTTGCCACCAGAGGGAGATGCTGCTCAAGGTCCAGACGCTGCGTGCACATCCAGTGCCTGTGATAGGAATTACAGAACCATCTGGGTTGGAAAAGTCCTCTTAAGATCGTCGAGTCCAACTGTTCACCCAGCACACTCAAGGCAGCCACTAAGCCATGTCCCCAAGTGCCACATCCACATGGCTTTTAAATCCCTCCAAGGATGGGGACTGGAGAGAAGAGGGATGTGCAGGACTGAGGCTGCTGTGTCATCACAGGTGGGAGCTGGTGGGAGTGAAATGTCAGATACAGTGCACAATGAGTGCCTGGAGGAATGAGACCGTGGCTGTGGGAGTCTCCTTCTACCTCCCCAGGCATCACTGGGCCATTGGGAAACTTCGGAAACCCCTGCCAGGGTCTTGCCCAGAATTCAGGGCCGGGAAGTCATCCAGGTATCTGCAAATATCCCACGGTGACTTCAGATCCAAAGGTGTGAGTGCAAGGGGAGATGCCACTGACCACACTGGATGCAGGATGGGAACCTGCTGGTTTGGTAGAACCAGCTCCAGCTGTCAGCACCACGGTGCTGAGTCCTGATTTTGGTGGTGTATCCCTGGAGCTGTGCACATGTGCCTGGGGGGAGGTGACAGGGTCACTCCCCACTCTGGTCTGTCTTCACATCAACCCACGGGGTGCAGAGATCCCTCAAATGCCACGTCACTGCCCTGTGTGGAGCAACGTGGCCCTGGGCCAGTCCAAACACAGGATGAGAAACTGCAGCTGACAAAGGAGCAGAGGGGAACCAGCTGATGAAACCTCAAAGTCCCTCAAAAGCTTGAGGAGACCCAGCCAGATCCTCCACTCCTTCTGCAGCATTTCCCATGAAGCTCTTTTTGCATGAGGCATGTTATGCTGAGCTAGACAGGGATCTGCTCAGCCTTTGGGGATGCACACCACCAACTTTTGGGCTTCAGCCACTCAGAGAAGAGCTGGAGTGGGGGGATATTTCCATCCCACTGATTTCAGATGATTATCCAGTGCTTTTGCCTGTTTTGGAATAGAAAATTTCAGCTAATTTGCCTCCTATAACCTTTTTTTTTACCTTTTTTTTTTTTAAGGAAACCTTCTCCAGCACTTTAGAGAAGTGGAGGGTCATGCCCCAGCCCAGGAGAGCTAAGTGCCACTCGTGAGAGGAGGTCTCAAGGGTAACACAGGAGCAGGGAGCAGGAACCAAGGGTGAATTTTGACAATGCAGGGAGTGACCTGCAGGTTCCCCAGGAGAACTGGCCGTGCCACTCACCAGTGATCTGGAAAAAGGCAGGAACAGAGGCTACGTCCCTCAGAAATTACACAATACCCAGGTGAGCCCGGGCTTGGGGACGTGGCTGCTGGCACCATCCCCTTGGCTTGTTTTTAACAGGTCACCCTTGTCCCTCTGTCAAGGTGAAATAAAACAAAGCAGGATGGAAAGGTACAGACAGGGCGCGAGGTTGGCAGCAGCCCTGCCCCAGCCCTGCTGGGATCTCACCTTCCCAGCAGCACTGTTTTCCACCTCCCTCTTCACCTGGATTTCTGAGCACAGTTTTTGGGGTGGGGGAAAAAAACATCCCCGCCAGCTCCAAGATGATGTATCCCCACCCCTGAACTAGCTCAGGAAGGATTTACCCAGAAAAAAACATCTTTTCACTTCCAACAACATTGAAACACAATACTTGGACATTACAGAAAACAGAATTCTTTGCCCTGGGGGTTGTTGTTATTTGTTTTTTTCCAAGCTGAAACTTTGGATAATTTTTCCCCTCTTAATTAAATTTGGTTTGCTGCAAACCCCTTTTTGGTGCCTTTAGTGTTCCTGTAAAGGAACAGGGCCCAGGCTGCAGCTTTGTGCCCGTGGCTCCAAGGCTAAACAATACCACAGAGGGGGGCAGTGGAGGGTAAACCCAGCTAATCAGGACTTGCCTAATAGGACTGAGTGCCTAATGAGGAGCCAGGGACTGTACTTCCCGGGCTGGATTTGGCTGGAGGAAAATGCTTTGTGCTCTCAACACCAGGTTTGAGACAGCTCAGTTCCCTCCAACACACTGTGGGAGCATTTTCTCCATCCTGTGAATCCATCCTCAATGGCCACAGGGCGGATCTCTGTGAGGAATCCATGGGGACCCAGATGTTGGAGGAGCTGAACAAGATCCTGCAAGCAAAAGGATCCAGTGACTCCTTTGCTTGAAGGGAGATCCTTAAAATCAAAGCCCTGTTTGTGCCTCGATTTTCCTAAGCAAAGCCACTGAAAGGCCCTGCCTGCTCCCCTTAACATCCTTGGGGCTCCCTGGGGAGCTCTGGGAGGATTTTAGGGATGGGCTTCAATAAATAGGCATGAATATTCCACTGCTCTGCCATGGAGACCTGGCTGGATTGTCTCCATCCATGCTGCTACACCCCAGCCCCAGACAGGGTGTGGGTTTGGGAAGGGGGTGGGGTAGGGAAGGCATCCGATGCCTAAGGCCTCTCCTTCGTTAATAGGAGAGAGATTTGGGGTTCAGTGCTGAGGCTGTGGGGTGCAGAGCAGGTGGGTAAATGGGGGTGGGGTGGGTGTGAGTGCTGGGACACAGGTGGGTGGCTGGGCGTGCACAGAGAAGGGAGTGTGGGTGGAGGCCCAGATATGCACAGTAGGTGGGTGCAGGTGTGGGAAGGTGTCTGGACATAAACAGTAGGTGGGTGCAGGTGTGGGTGGGCATCCAGACATGCACAATAGGTGGGTTCAGGTGTGGGTGGGCATCCAGACATGCACAATAGGTGGGTTCAGGTGTGGGTGGGTGTCCAGATGTGCACAGTAGGTGGGTGCAGCTGTGGGAAGGTGTCTGGACATAAACAGTTGGTGGGTGCAGGTGTGGGTGGGCATCCAGACATGCAAAATAGGTGGGTTCAGGTGTGGGTGGGTGTCCAGATGTGCACAGTAGGTGGGTGCAGATGTGGCTGTGTGAGGGTGGGAGGTGAGTGCTGAGGCCACTGGGTGCTTCCATCCCCTGTTGAGAACCAGTGCGTGCACGGGGCAGGCAGGGGCCGGGGCTGGGGCCCATGCTGGTGCCGGGGCTGTGACAGTGCCAGTGTCGAGTCTGGGTCCCGGTCCGGGTCCAGACTCTCGGTCTGGTGCCGGGTGTGCGTCCGAGTCTATGCCCGTGTTCGGGTCCAGGTCAGAGGCTGTGCCGAGCCGGGGCTGGGTCCGGGTCCGGGTCCGGGACTGGGGCTGGGTTCAGGGCGGGGTCCGGCTTCTTGCCCGGGTCCGGTGCCGGTGCCAGTGACGGCTCCGGGTCCGGGTCCGGGTCCGTGCCCAGGTCCGGGTCCGGGGCTGTGCCGGTGTCGATGCTGTGCCGGTGCAGTGCCCGGGGCTGTGCCGGGTCCGTACCCGGCTGCGGGTTCGGGGCGGGGTCGGTGCCGGGTCCGGCTCTGGGTCCGTGCCTGGGTCTGAGCCGTGCCGGGGAGGTGCCTGTGCCGTGCCCGATGCTGTGCCAGGTCCTGACCCTGCTCCGGGTCCGGTGCCGGATCCAGGTCCGTGCCGTGCCGGGGCGGGGTCGGGGCCGTGCCCGGTGCCGTGCCGGGTCCGTGCCGTGCCGGGGCGGGGTCGGGGCTGTGCCCAGGGCCGTGTCCGTGCCGTGCCGGGGCGGGGTCTGTGCCGTGCCGGTTCCGTGCCCGGTGCTGTGCCGGCTCCGTGCCGTGCCGGGGCGGGGTCGGGGCCGGGGCCGTGCGGGGCCGGGCGGGCGCGGGGAGGGCTCAGCGGCGGCGCCTGCGCGGGGCCGTCGCGGAGCTCCGCGAAGTTCCGCGGGGCCCGGGGAAGTTTGGGCTCGGCTCGGCTCGGCCCCGGCCATGGCCTTCCGCCGGCGGGCCAAGAGCCACCCGCTCTTCAGCCAGGAGTTCCTCATCCACAACCACGCCGACATCGGCTTCTGCCTGGTGCTCAGCGTCCTCATCGCCCTCATGTTCGAGGTGAGAGCCCCCCCACTCCATCCGCATCCCCCTTCCCCGCCGGGGCCGGCCGTGTGTGTGTCCCCACCCTGTGGACCAGGTGACCCCCCTCGTTCTGCACGGGGTGTCCCCCCCCCGGGGGTGTCTCTGCTCCGGGGGGTCCGTACCCCGGCCAGAGCCCCCGTCCTTCTTTGGGAGGGGGCTCTGCGCTGCGGGACCCCTCCGTCTGGGGGGGCACAGCGCCTCCCCATTCATTCCCTATCTCTCACCCACCACCAGAGAGGTGAGTGTCCCACAGATTCCTTTGGGGACCCAGCCTGGTGCTGAGTTTTGGAGTGGCACATCCTTCTTCCCCCGCTCCAGCCCTGCTCGGGGTCCCTGGTTTGGGAAGGGGCAGCAGAGGGGATGTCACAAACCCCCTTCTCCAAACCCACCGCTGCTGCTGGGATGTCCCAAGCACTGAGAGGGGGTGCATCAGCCTCACACAGAGAGAAGCCAAACCCTGGCAGATATTCCCAGCTCTTGGAAATGGGA